GAGAGGAAACAATATTTGTAGAAAATGTCTTATAGTTTAGGTTGATGTTATTTTAGTCACTCCAGTTGACCCATAGGGGACTTTTGTATTAGGATCTATCCAATATTACATTGCAAATCCAGAAAATCCAAGTACATGAAGCGTCTCATGGACAGTTGTCTCTATTCTACTTTTAAATCTAAACAAAGTCATTGATGTAGCAGGCATTTATCCAATATTAAATTAAATTCTTCCGAAATTAGGCCTCTAAAATACAGAATCTATAGCACAAAAACTAGCACTAGCAAGTACTGTGGAAGTAGGGTTATTTTAATAAGTAATATAAAGATGTAAATCTGAGTTAGGGATACCTATAGTTTAATCGGCTGATGGTACTGCTACATTAATACAAGTAGTTGACCATCCAGAAGGGAATTTATTATTTCCAGATGTTGGGATTACTTTTATTAAATTTGCAAAGTATATTTTTGTTGTTTCTACTAAAGTTATTAAATAATTTTTTTATTCTGTAGTTATTGTAACAGGCGACACTAAATCAATAGGACTATAGTCTGCTGTTATTCGATATGGCTAAGGTGTTCCTGTTTATAGATTACGTGGTTAATCTTTATGAACATGCTTATAATATTCTTTTTCAAATTCTTTATGGAATTTTTTTATATCGTCGTCGTGATCATGATCGCAAGCAATTGCATATATTTGTTTTATATTTATTATGATTGCTATTAATAATATTTTCATCATTTTTTATATTTTTATTATTTTTTTATCTTTTTACGATTTTTTTTCTCTTTAATATTTTTTATTTTGATATAATAAAAAATACGTAAATTAATTAAATTCTAATTATAAAAAAACGCGAATAAATATATATTTTAATAAATAAAATAAATAGAGTATTTTAAAGTAAATACAATATTTTATAAAAAATAAGCAATCACTCATGTATTTTATTTTAAAATAAAAAAATAATTTAATTTCAAATAAATATAAAAATGTTTATTGTTATATAAATTATTATTTAAGCTTTATATATTAAAAAAATAAATTAATTATTATAATAATATTTTAAAAATATTTTTTATAAATATTTTCAATAAATATTATTACTAATTATTAATTATATTTATTTATTTGTTTTTATATATGTTATTTTATTTAATATAGTAAAAGTAATATATTAATTTTTTAGCTATTAAATAAAAAAAGATAAATAAAAATAAAATTATAATATTTTTTAAGAATTAAAAATATATTTAAATAAAAAATAAAAATTTACTAAATCAAACATATATATACATTAAAAATTAAAAAATATTTTCTTAAAAACAATAATATATATATCTGGATTATGTAAATTTTTATATATCTCAATTTAATACCTAGTTAACAGTAATAAAATTTATTTAAGAATTATATGAAAATTTTGAGAATTTACTTTAAAAAAAAAAAAAATTAGATTAGAAAAATGTATATAGAGAATAAATAAATAATACCATTTACAAAAATAAAAATATAAAAATAATATGTTCTTTATTTTTTGTATTAAAATGAATAAAATATTAATATAGTAAAATATGAATATTTAATAGGTAAATTAAAAAGTTTAAAATAAGGAAGGAAAAAATTATATAACTTATAAATATTATATAAATTAGAGTGATATTTTTATAAATAAATAATAATTATAAATCAATGAAAACTTATACAATTTAATAAACATAATAGAATTTTAGTTACACATCTATAAATATTATGTTAGCAAAAAATTAAAATTAAATTTAAAAGAACTAATTGTTATATTTCAACTTATTTTTTAAGAAAAAATTATAATTTGTTTAGATGAAATTGTTATAATTTGATGAATTTTATATCTACTGTAAGAAAAATTAATAATTTATATTAAAAGACCACGTAAATATAGTCGGTTTATCACTATTAGCTGTAATATCTAACTTATTTCCTATTAGATTTTTAATTATTCTATCATCAAATAAGACTTTGGTAGTTTTATAGTTTAACTAATATTAAATAATCCAACTATAAGATATGATTTATAGAGTATAATTTTTTATACTAAAACACATCAATCCATCATGTTAAAATACATAAGCAAACCATTTATTAATAAATTAGTTTTTTTTATTCAATGTCATAATCAATTTAACTTAATCCAATTGAAGATATGTTTGCTTTAATAAAAATATATATAAGATACTCAAAACTTGTACTTTAATATAAACATTTTAAATTAATTTCTATTTATATAAATAATTTAAAATTAATAAAATAATCTTTATATAAATAATTATTTATATATTTAGAATAAAATTCATATTAATATTATAAAATATAATGTTATTTAAAGAATATAATAATTAAAAATATTTAATATATCTGTATACATAGGCAATTTTAATAGTTTATTTTATATTTTTAGGACTTAATTATAAACTAACAGTTAATTTAAAAAATAAATATAAATCTTTTATGAATAAATTAAAAAAAATATAATAAAATGATATTAATGATATTTTATAATATAATATAATTTAATTCAAAAACTTATACTTTAGTCTTAAATTAACTAAACCGAACAAATCAATAATACTAAAATTTTTGGTTTAGAGAATAAATGATTTTAGCATATTTTTGCATGTTAGGCTAAAGAAATAAAATAAGATGTTGTAAACCACTATATATATATTAAAATAATAATAAATTATAATTATATCTTAAATTAAAAAAAGCAAATAAATTAATTTATAAAAGAATAAAATAAACTAAAATAAAAATACTAATTATTATATAAATATATAAATAAAATTGATTTTTAATTTAACCAAAAATAAACAAATAATTATTAATAAAAAAAGTAAAATAAATCTAATACATTATAAAATATAAAAAGATTATATAAAATTATAAAAATTATATTAAGTATTTATAAAAAAGAATTTTATATTTTTATCATAATATAAAAGTTCTTATTATTTTAAAATTATAAGCATTATATAAAAAATATACAAGAATTCAAAGTTATGATTTATTAAAAAAACAATTATTATATATCTATGAAAAAAAATTTAATAATGCAAATAAATAATTTTAAGTAAAAAAATTTATATATTGAAAATATAAATTAAAAAATATTTAATATATAAAAGAATTTATTTATATTGTATATTTAGATATATCTTTAAAATATTAATATTTATGGTAAAAATATTGAATTAATAAAATAAATATAAAGAAGAATAATTATATATATATAGATTTTATTATTAAATATATATATATATAATATAAAAAAAATAAAAAATATTCAACCTTTTAAAAATATACATTTAATTTAAAAAATATCATATTATATATTTAAAAATATTAAATAAATAAAAAAAAAATATTTACTATTGTATATATAATATATTTTTAAATAAAATTTAATATATTTGTAAATATATATTATCAATTTAATTTAATTATATATATTTTAATTAAATAATTTATATAAATAAATAGTTCTAATTTTAAAATTAAATTTAATATTTTGTTTTAAGTTTTAAATTTAAATTAGAAAAATATATAATATAAAAATAATTAATTATCAATATAAAAATAAATAAAAATATATTTATAAATATATATATATATTTTTATATATATATATATATATTAATATTATTATTTTTATTTTTTATAAATATTATATTTTTAAATTATTATTCTATTAAGAATATCTTATTTTTACTTTAAAATATTTATAATTTATTTTCAACATATATATAGTTTTATTATATATATTTTAAACTAAAAGATATTAAAAGTTTTCTTTTTTTTTTTTATTAAAATATTATATTTAATTACTATATAAAATACTTTTTTTTTCTTTTAAATTTACAATTTTATATTTATAAAATACCTTCTTTTATTATGTAGTATAATTATATAAAAAATTAAAAATTGATTAAAAAATATCTCTATAAATTTAAAAAAAAATAATAATAATATTATTTAAGCAATAATATTAAATAAAAATAATTAAAAACAATATATATGTCCTATTTAAAAAAACTTGGATTATTTGGAATTAGAAGTTATGGCGATTAAAATGATGAAAAATATGAAGAAATTCATTTTTTTAAGCCATTAACATTAATATTAGGATGTAATGGTACTGGAAAATCAGTTAATAATAAAAAAATCAATATAATTATGATATAAATACATTTTTTTTTTGTAATATAAATTAGACAATAATTGAAGCTTTAAAAGTAATTACAACAGGCTAATTTCCTCCAAATTCAGGAAATGGAAAGAGCTTTATAAAAGACCCAAAACTTTATAATTAAAATGAGAGTCAAGGATCAATATCTCTTATATTTAAATCAATTTATAAGAAATAAATTTTAGTAAGAAGACTATTTAAACTTAAAAGAGATGCGAATGAAAAATTAACTTTTGATTCTAAAGATTAAACTATATAAGTAAGAGATGAAAATGGAAAAGATATATAAATTTCACACAAAGTAATTTATTTTTACTATTAAAAAAATAGAAATATATATGTATTTTTTAGTGTGTAGAAATAGAAAAATAAGTGCCTTAATTATTAGGAGTTAGTAAAGCAGTATTTGAAAATGTAATTTTTTGCCATTAAGATGATTCTTTATGGCCTTTTGGTGATAATTCTACATTAAAGAATATTTTTGATGAACTTTTTGATACAAAATAGTATTTTCCTTTTTTTTTTTTTCTCTTTTTTTTATTATTAATATTATTTTTGTTTTGTTAAAAAAAAGATTTATGAAGTTATAAGATTAATTAAAAAAGAAACAACGAGAATATAAAAAATAAATAAAAGAATTAAAAACAGAAAACACATTTTTAAAATAAAGAAGTGAAGATGCAATTACTAAAAAATAATAATTAATAGAATAAACAGAAGAATTATAAAAAGAAAGTTTAGAATTAAAGGAAAAATAGAAAAACTATATTAATTAAATGAAGATTTTGGAAAAAAAGGGGATTAGTAGGAAATAATTGAAAAAATATAGAATGAAAATAGAAATTAAATTAAAATAGAAATGGAAATTGAAGAAAGAGAAAAAAAGAAGAGAAAAATAATAAATGAAATAGGACAAGAATAGGCTTATTTTAAAGAATTAAAAAAAGAGGAAATTTAAAATTTATTAGAGGAAATTTTGAAATAAAAGTAGGATTTTATATAATAAAAAAGTCTTATTTAATAATACAATAATGATTTGGAAGAAGAAATAAAAGAAATAAAAGAAATGATGAATATTTTGAAGTATTCGAATGTAAATTAGGAGATTTTGAAATATAAGAATGAATTAAATAAGATTTTAAAGAAAAATTTAGATAATGAAGATTTGCTTTTGGATTAGGTGAAAAAATTCGAGGTTTAAAATAGAAATTTTTATGAGGAAGAATAGGGAGCTTTAAAATTTTAATTTGAATAAAATTAATAGACTTATTAAAATTTTTAAAATAAAATTTAAACTAATATATAAGTTTAATGCGAAAATCAATAAAAATATTAACAAAATGAAAATAATTTAAAGTCTTTTTAAGAAAAAATGGAAAATAGTTCCAAAATATTTGAAAAAGAATAAAATTTGGCTAATTTAGTATAAGAAATGGATATTAATAAAAAAAATCTTGAAAAAATAGAAAATCAAATTAATTAAGAAAATTCTGTTTTAGAAAATAAATAAATTTAATATAATTCTATTAATGAAAAAATACATCTTTTGAATAGTTAGCCAGTATTTTCGATGTATTAGTAAATGTAAAAGGATCTCTTGAGTTTAGTTTAGGAAAAAGAAGATTTAGAGGAATAATTAGGGACGAATATAATCAATATATAAACAAAAAAAAACAAAAATAAAAAGGATGTGTTAATTTTGAAAGAAAAAATGAAAAATTTAGAAGTCGAATAAAATAAAATAAAGGCAAAAATAGAAAACTGTGAAAATGAAAAGGAAAAAAATGAAATAGAGAAGTACAAAGTTAGGGATTTTTTAAAAAATAAGGGACTTTAGGTAAATTAAGGTGAAGTCTTTGGTGAAAAATTTAAAGATTTGAAAATAAAAATAAAGGAAATGAAGAAAATTATAATGGCAAAAGAAGCCTAAATTTTAATGAATAATGGGATGGTTTTTTAGTGTTAATAATAAGGAAAATGTGGGTTTTGTAAATAGTAAGTTGATTAATAAAACATTAAGAAAATTAAAGAGAATTAAGAGGAGGTTTTAGGGAAATTAAATAAGGAAATTTTAGAAGTGAAGAATTTAATTTAATCGAGAATTGAAGAAAAAATGAAAATGAAAGATTTTTAAAATTAATATTTTTAGTTGGAAAATTTTAATTAAAAGAGTTTATAAATAGAAGATGATTTAGAAAAATTAAAGATTATATTTTTATAAGAAAATGCCAAAATAAATAAAATTAAATCAGAATTGTAAATAGAAGAAGCCATGGGAGAAAAAATAGAGAAAGAATTGATGGCTTATGGATAAGTAGAAGTATTGAATGGATAAATAAAGAAATAAGAGATAAAGATTTAAGGGTTTTTTAAGGAAAATTAAAAAATTATTAAGGATTTGTAAAATTTAAGTTTCAAAGATATAGATAAAAAAATACTAATTAGTGATTAATAAAAAATTTAAAATGAAATTAATTGTATTTAATAAAATATTATTTAATTTAATGTAAATATATATAAAATATATATATATAAATGTATGTATATTATTTTTTAGAATTAAAAGAATAATTTTTAAACTAAAATTTAACTCATTTAATAAAATATTAGTATTCTATAGAATTAAATAAATAAAGACAATTAAGAAATTATATAAATGAAATAATAAAAAGAAAAAGCCACAAATGAAAATAGTTTGATTTTGATGAAATTAAAAGAATTAGAAATATAATAAATAGGGAATAATGAAAATTTATAGAGACTTAAAATTGAAGAAAGTAAAATTTAAGAATAAATTTTCTAAAGTAAATAGAAATTTAATTCAATATAAAATGTTTTAAGTTAAAATTTACCTTAGTTTGAAATTTTATATAATTAATAGAAAGAAATTTAGAAAAATAAATAAAAGAAAAATTTTAAAAAATCAGTAAATAATCAAGAAGATTAATATTAAAATTTATAATAACAATTATAAATAAAAGAATAATATATATAAAATTATGAAAAATAAATATAAGATATAAATAAATAAATAGAAGAAGCTGAAAAAGAAATTAAAATACTTTAATGTGGAGACTATTACATGAAATTAATTTAAGAAATTGATGAGTTAATAATTTAATTAAAATAATCGAAAAATATAATAAATTAATTGTAAAAAAAATAAAATGAAATAGAAAAAGAAATAAATTTATGTAAAAATGAGGAATAAAAAATTATTTAATTATAGGAAAGAAGCAAATATAAATTAATATAAATAGAAAAATTATATGTAATATAAATAAATAATAATATATATAATAATATATATATATATATATAATAATAATATATATATATATATTTATATTTATATATATATATTTTTTTTTATTTTTTTTTTCTAATATAAATTTATATTTATACATATTTCTATTATAGTAAGAAATATTATAATCTTATGATAAAATAGAATAAGACTATTCATAGAAATTAATAGAGTTAGATATAAAAAATGGTCTATGTAATGATATTGATGTTTATATTGATGAATTGGAAAAAACTTTAATTAATTATCATAAAGAGAAAATGCTTTAAATTAATAAAACTATTATTTCTACATGGAGAGTTATAATATTTTTCTATATTTAAAATAATATAAAAATAGAAAATTTATTAAGGTAATGATATATCTAAAATTGAAATAAAAGCCGAAGAAGTTGGAGAAAATTAAGCAGGAAGAAAATCATTTAACTATAGAATCGTTATGTATATAATAGGTAAAAACTAGGATGATTTGAAAGAAATAGATATGAAAGGAAGATGTAGTTCAGGTTAAAAAGTACTTGCATGTATTATAATAAGATTAGCTTTAGCAGAAGCATTTACTATTAATTGTGGAATATTAGCTTTAGATGAACCTACTACTAATTTAGATTAAGAACATACTATAAGTATTAATAAATATATATATATATATATATATATATATATATATATATATATAATATATAATATAAAATTATTTTTATATATATATATAAATTTATATAATTTTATTTTATATAATTTTATTTAATTAAAAATAGAATTAGCTTAATCTCTTAGTGATTTAATTGAAAGCAGAAAAGGCTAAGAATCGTTTTAATTAATTATTATTTCACATGATAATAATTTTATTAAATTAATGCAGTAAAATACTGAGTGTAGTGAATATTATTATGTTTATAAAGTAAATATATTTGTTATTATATATTATTTTCTTATTTTTTTTATTAATATATAGGAAAATGGATGTTCTAAAATTACAAGAAGAAAATATAACAATGCTCTTATGAATAGAGAATTAGATTGATTTTTTTAAAAATAATAATTTTAAATTAATTTATGTATTGTAATTAATCAATATTTTAATATTTATATTTAAGTGTGCATATTGAAATTTTTTGATTTTTAATTTAATTTTTTTTATTTATTAAAGAAAATATAAATTAATATTATAATATTGTAATATATAAAATTATTAATTAAAATTTATATAAATATTTTTAAAATATTAAAATATTGGTTTAATTTATAAAAAAAAATTAGTTTTATATTATATTATAATGTAAAATAAAAATCTTTTATAAATATATATTATTATTTTTTATTAAAATAATGGACGTCAGCAAATACCTGTAGTTGGCTTTGTTCCATTAGGGCATTATGTTAAACATTAATTAAGAGACAAATACTAAATATTAAAATAAATATATGAAATAATAAATATATATTTACATATCCAGTTTAGCAAGCAGTACAAGTAGTGGGTTTATATGAAACACAAGTTTTACAAGGCGCATAACATTCAGTAGCCTCAATACAATAATTATTATATAATTACCATCCATATGATGTATCACATATAGTGCAAATAGTATCGTTTACACATTTTAAACAACCATATTAACACCATTAACATATTCCTGTTGCCGTTTCTAAATAAGTTTCTTAAGGACATGTAGTAAAACAATATTAATAAAATAAATAATATCCTGAAATACAAGAAGTGCACATAGTTTTGTCTGTAGAATAGCATGTTTTACAAGGAGATGTGCACAAAGAAGGGATTACGCAATTATTGCTACTAAGTGTATATCCGCTAGCACAAGTAGTGCATACAGTAGCACTTGAGCAAGCAGAGCATCCTGTTAAAGAGCAGGCTTTACATAATTTAGTGAAAGTGTCAGGATATGTGCCTACAGGACATGTTGTTACACATGAAGTTCCATTCAAAAATTATGTAATTAATTCACACGAAAGACATGATGTAGAACTAGTGGATTAACAGGTTAAACATGGAGAAGTACAATTAGAGCAAACAGATCCTACTAGTCTATATCCAACAGCACAAGTACTACATGTACTAGAATTTAAACATTTAGTACATCCTGTTAATGTACAATTCGTACATTCTTAATTTGTAGTATTGGCAAAAGTAGTAGATGGACAAGATGTAGAAACGACACATTTTGCAAGAACTTTATCTAAAAATAAAGGAGACGGACATTTTGTACAATAAGTAGCAGTTCCACTACATGCTAAGCAAGAAGGATCACAAATCATATTTTTAACACATATACCATTACTTAAAACATAATTTAATGATGCATCACACTATGAGCAAGTAGTAGATGAAGTGCAGACCGAACATCCAGTAGAGCATGATTCGCACAATTTAGTTTATTCGTTTGGTATTTTATTAGAAGGGCAAGTTTCTACACATGAAGTACCATCTAAGTAAGTTAAATATTAACAACCTGTGCATTAGGTTGCTAACGGACCAGTACATCTACTACAACTAGAATGACACTAAGAACATACTCCATTATTTTTATAAAATCCATTAAAGCATGTCGGCCTACATGTCTATAATTTATATTTATATATATATATATATATATATACTAAGATTTATTTTATTTACATTATCTATTCCTGCAAATTTTCCAGCAGAACATGCATTTACGCAGACTCCATTTTCACTATATTTAGGACAAGGTATATTACAGTCTTCTCCACTTTATCCTGGTATACAAATACAAAATCCTTTAACACATACTCCCTTTTGACTGCAGAAATTTTTACAAAGTGGTTAGAAGTCACAGAAATATTAAAAGCTGTCAGGACAAGTAATTGCTCCTTTTGTTGCATCTAAAGGGTCTACTTATATAACTTACTTTTCTTTAGTACATTATATTGATTTGTTAAGTTAACTAAGTTTAATGGTTACATAACTATAATCAGGAGCGCATGTAACATCATGACATCTCATACTATCTGTAAATCCATACAATCCTGTACTGGCAGTAGAGTTTAAACATCTAGATTAATATCCAAAAAATTCATATCTGTCATTAACATATTTATTTACTGTCAATAAGTTGTTATCAGGATTAGTACATAATTTATTACTATAAGGCATTATATAAAAACAAGTGTCTAAAGTAACTGGATTAGCTCCAATACCAGATCCTTAATATTCAAAAGTACAAGTTTTAACAGTATTTCCGTCAACAAATTCCTAATATCTATAAATGCCTTTACAAGCATTATTTACATAATCACAACCTTTATTTTTTCCCCAATAAATATTAGAAGCAAAATTTTCATTAATTTCAGCAAAAAATCCAGTATCTCTTAAAAGTGAAACAGTAAAAATAGAAAGCGCAGCATCAGTTGGGACTGATTCTCCATTCATCATTTCATTTGAAAGTAAAGTTTTTTCCCAGTGAGAGCCTGCAGTACCACTTCCTCCTCCGTTTTCCAATTACATTCCTAAAAGAGTTGGACAACTAAAATATTTTCTAGAAGTCTTTAAAATATTAGGAGAGGAAACAATATTTGTAGAAAATGTTCTTATAGTTTAGGTTGATGTTATTTTAGTCACTCCAGTTGACCCATAGGGGACTTTTGTATTAGGATCTATCCAATATTACATTGCAAATCCAGAAAATCCAAGTACATGAAGCGTCTCATGAACAGTTGTCTCTATTCTACTTTTAAATCTAAACAAAGTCATTGATGTAGCAGGCATTTATCCAATATTAAATTAAATTCTTCCAAAATTAGGCCTCTAAAATATAGAATCTATAGCACAAAAACTAGCACTAGCAAGTACTGTGGAAGTAGGGTTATTTTAATAAGTAATATAAAGATGTAAATCTGAGTTAGGGATACCTATAGTTTAATCGGCTGATGGTACTGCTACATTAATACAAGTAGTTGACCATCCAGAAGGGAATTTATTATTTCCAGATTTTGGGATTACTTTTATTAAATTTGCAAAGTATATTTTTGTTGTTTCTACTAAAGTTATTAAATAATTTTTTTATTCTGTAGTTATTGTAACAGGCGACACTAAATCAATAGGACTATAGTCTGCTGTTATTCGATATGGCTAAGGTGTTCCTGTTTATAGATTACGTGGTTAATCTTTATGAACATGCTTATAATATTCTTTTTCAAATTCTTTATGGAATTTTTTTATATCGTCGTCGTGATCATGATCGCAAGCAATTGCATATATTTGTTTTATATTTATTATGATTGCTATTAATAATATTTTCATCATTTTTTAATTTAATTAACTTAAATATTATTTATTTAATAATTAATTTTTTTTTTTTGATTTTATATATATTTTTTATCAATTAT